AGGAGAGTTTACAGGTCATGGAAGGAGGGGCTGGCCACTTGGGAGGAATATAAGGCTGCTGCTAGAGGATGTAAGAAGGCAGCTAGGATGACTAAGGCCTCCTTAGAATTAAACCTGGCGAGAAGGGTCAAGGACAGCAAAAAGAGCTTTTTCAAATACATGGCAGATAAAACTAACACCAGAGGCAATGTAGGCCCACTGATGAACAGGATGGGTGCCCTGGTGACAGAAGATACAGAGATGGCAGAGTTACTGAATGCCTTCTTTGTCGCTGTCTACTCTGCTGCAGGCAGTCCTGAAGAGCCCTGTACCCCTGAGACCTCAGATGAAGTCAGGTCAACAGAGGGGTTTGCCTTAGTCAATGAGGAATGGGTTAGAGACTTAGAGACCAGTTGAGCAATCTGGACATCCATAAATCCATGGGTCCAGATGGGATGCACCCGCGGGTGCTGAGGGAACTGGCGGAAGTCATTGCTAGACCACTCTCCATCATCTTTACCAAGTCTTGGGAAACGGGAGAGGTGCCTGAGGACTGGAGGAAAGCAAATGTCACTCCAGTCTTCAAAAAGGGCAAGAAGGAGGACGCGGGTAACTATAGACCGGTCAGCCTCACCTCCATCCCTGGGAAAGTGATGGAACACCTTATCCTTGGTGCCATCTTAAGGCATATCAAGGATAAGAGGGTTATGAGGGGCAGTCAACATGGCTTCACCAAGGGGAAATCATGTTTGACCAATCTCTTAACCTTTTATGAGGAAATAACACGGTGGATGGATGATGGCAGAGCGGTGGATGTGGTCTACCTTGACTTCAGCAAAGCATTTGACACAGTCTCCCACAGCATCCTCACAGCTAAATTGAGGAAGTGTGGACTGGATGATCAGGTAGTGAGGTGGACTGCGAACTGGCTGAAGGAGAGAAGCCAGAGAGTTGTAGTCTATGGGGCTGAGTCTAGTTGGAGGCCTGTAACTAGTGAAGTGCTTCAAGGGTCAGTACTGGGACCAGTATTATTTAATATATTCATCAACGATTTAGATGAGGGAATTGAGTGTACTATCAGCAAGTTTGCTGATGACACTAAGCTGGGAGGAGTGGCTGACACGCCAGAAGGCTGTGCTGCCATCCAGCGAGACCTGGACAGGCTGGAGAGTTGGGCAGGGAATAACTTGATGAAATATAACAAGGGAAAGTGTAGAGTCCTGCATCTGGGCAGGAACAACCCCAGGTTCCAGTATAGGTTGGGGAACGACCTGTTAGAGAGCAGTGTAGGGGAGAGGGACCTGGGGGTCCTAGTGGACGACAGGATGACCATGAGCCAACACTGTGCCCTTGTGGCTAAGAAGGCCAATGGCATCCTGGGGTGTATTAGAAGGGGGGGTGGTTAGTAGGTCGAGAGAGGTCCTCCTTCCCCTCTACTCTGCCCTGGTGAGACCGCATCTGGAATATTGTGTCCAGTTCTGGGCCCCTCAGTTCAAGAAGGACAGGGACCTGCTGGAGAGAGTCCAGCGCAGGGCAACTAAGATGATTAAGGGAGTGGAGCATCTCCCTTATAAGGAAAGACTGAGGGAGCTGGGTCTCTGTAGTTTGGAGGAGACTGAGGGGTGACCTTATTAGTGTATATAAATATATAAAGGAGGAGTGTCACAAGGATGGAGCCAGGCTCTACTCAGTGGCAAACAATGATAGGACAAGGGGTAATGGCTACAAACTGGAACACAAGAGGTTCCACTTAAACTTGAGAAGAAACTTCTTCTCAGTGAGGGTGACGGAACACTGGAACAGGCTGCCCAGCGAGGTTGTGGAGTCTCCTTCCCTGGAGACATTCAAAACCCGCCTGGACACATTCCTGTGTAACCTTATCTAGGTGTTCCTGCTCCGGCAGGGGGATTGGACTAGATGATCTTTTGAGGTCTCTTCCAATCTCTAGCATACTGTGACACTGTGATGTGTAATCAGAACAGCATTTTTTCATACTGGAACCTACTATCCTTAGTCTAAGAGTCCACTAGTATCACTTGCCAGGAATTCAAAGGGCAATTTCTGCCCATGAAATGGATGCAATCAGAAAGAGGCTCATTTTATGAGGGCATGTTGTATGTCACTCAATGACTGTAAACTGGTTTGAAATATTCATGTAAAAGTGGTGCAGTAGAGCAAAGCAAAGCAGAAATAACAATGCAGGGTGACATGCCAGCCTTTATCAGAGGATGAGCTGTGGAGAGGCAGAAAATAAATGAGTGTTGTGGCGGGACTTAAACCAATGTGAGGTAATGCATACCTGGGCAGTGGAATTATTCGAAATACCCATTTCATTGTTTAGGGCTATCTGCATAGACAAGTTGGCTCCTAAAGGTACCAGACCCATGACTGACACCAGCACTTTGCTGACACCACCATACAGTCACTCGAATCCACAGATTATTACAGGCACGCCAGAAAGCAAGAAATCTCCATCAAAGGAGGGCCTGTTGCTTCAGTTATGAGATTCTCACTAGAGAATGATCACCTCTGGGTCATACTGCAACACCTCCTTCTTTAATGATGTCTATTCCTGTAACTGAGATGTTATTTATAGGATTATCCATCTTTTCTCATGTTCACAAGAGTCAGGAATGAAGTAAACCAGAGCTCCTAATACTGGGGAAAGGAGCTTGAACATTTTTCAGGTTCACCAGCAACCTTAATAGTGTATTATAAATATAGACTGAGGAGTCTTGTCAGTAGAACGTAGCTGTTAATTTTAAGGCCTAAGAAAAGATATAAATGAGAAAGGTGGGCTTAATTTAATTAAATGTATATGTTTGAATGTATACATTTGTCTGTGCTGGCCACACCAGGTCCTCTGTAGGCCATAGAGAGAACCCTGAGAGAACACTGGGGATTTTTTAAAAGAAGTCTTTTTAAAGAAGTAGAATTCTAAACCAAAGACAAATATCACCAAAGGAGCCAGATTTCATATTGCGTATGTTTAGGAGGCAAGTTGCAGGATAAATGGTTACTAACCATAGGAAATAATGGGCATGCTGGGTGTTTTCAGTTTAGGGTAGCTGCCGGACATACAGTTCACTGTGAACTTCTGCACAGTGCATGATGGCTGGACTTCACTCCTCACTTTCTCATGAGGTATTGCAGAAAACTTGACACATTTTAATACGGCATATCTTTGGGTGCAGATATTCAGACATGTGGTGAGGCTGCCCTTGGGTTTTGAGTGAAATTATCAACTAAATGATGCTAAGTGGATTTATACCTAGACTGGCTAAAGGCATCCAGTTGCTTCAGCTTTCATCCTTGTTTAAGAAAATGTTGTTGAGGTTTGGTGTACAGCTGGAGTTACAGTGGGAGTACTGGTGTTTTCCTCTCTGTTTTGGTGCTCAGCTATCGATGAGAGCCACTCACTCCCTTTACCTGTTAATATTCACACTTGCTTCTTTCTTGTTAATATTCACAGTTGCCTCCACAGTAGAACTGATTAAAAATGTGCATTTTTGGAAGCTGCTTTCAAGCCACAAAATTGGCAGAACATCTATTACTTTGTTTGCTTCCTCCATTTATGATCTCTAGGCAACGAGAAGTGTTTATGCAGGCTAGATTTCAATGTATTAGTTATGTACGCATGCAGATATATTTATAAAATACATATACGTTATATCCTGTATGAATATATTGTGTAACTAGTGTTTGTGCTTCCGTTTGCAGATCTCAAAGCACTCTACTGAGGCATCTATCCATATTTACCTCTTTCTTAGACATGGGGAAGCTGAGGTAGAAAGGGGATGTGGATTGTTTAAAACCACATTAACAGGTCAGCAAGAAAGGGAATCCAGGTCTTTGATTTCCAATACAGTGCTGCACTGGTGGGCAGCGATATTCATCTAGTGCATGTGACTTCTTTCTTTTTGTTTTTAAAACACCTTCCTTTCCCTGGAAATTCTAACTCAATTGTTAAAGACAGAATTTTGTTGGTATTTTAGGAAGAGAAGATGTTTGTAAAGTGTGAAAACCAGATCCTGCTAGAACTTACGAGCAAAACTTGGTCAAAATCAATAGGATCAGGTCTCTGTTTGCAGGCCATAGTTTGAAGAAAAAGTAAATTTTGGTTTAAGACTCCTAGTACCAAGCAAAAAAGGCTGTGAAACGGGACGTTATGTCACTGATCCAGGATGAACTCACTCTTCCACTTCAAATGTGCAAAATGCCCCTGATCCAGTGTGTTAACTTTTTAGTGGCAGGCTTTGTACAGGATCAGTTACTGTCTGTCTGCCTGCATCCCCCTAATTTTATGCGGGACGAGTAGCATCTGTCTTTCTGCAGCCAGCATAAAACTGACCTAATCTATGCATCAGGTCCTCGGGTGAATTTGACAGAAAAACAATGGTGTGGCCGCATCCGAGCTGGATCAGTTGTGTCCTGCTGTCTAATCAGTGGTGCAGAGAACTTGCACTCTTACGGAAGTGTGGCCTTAGCTCTATGACCCCATCCCACTGCTGTTTCACACCCAGGTTTCCTTGCTCATTCCCATGTGCATCCACGGGGAACGGGGAAGGGAGCAGGCACTCTTCCTTCCCAGTTTCCCGAAACGGCAGGGAAATACTTGAGGCTGTCCTCCTGCAGTTCACCGCCCTGCATCTCCCCTTCTATTTTTACCAGCGCCGCCGCTACCGTGGCCACCGCTGCAACAACACGCTGAGAAAAACCGAGAGGCGCTAAAACCGCAGCGGGACTACCAGCCCTGCTCCGCTACTCGGGGCTCAGGATAAGGGGATCCAGGCCATGACACCCCGGTGAGAGGCACGCCGCCTGCACCCACTGCTCCGGGTGCCTCTGCCCGCACCCCAGTACTGTTTTCCCTCTCCCCTGGTGGGGAATGCCAACCTAAGGACGCTGTCGTCTTAAAGAGCGCAGGGGAGGGAGGGACTGTGTGGAAGGGAGGCGGGCGCCAGCACCAGCATCTCCCCGCCACCCGCCGCACGAAGGCGCGCTCCCGGCCTCCCGCACTCGCCGCCCCGGCCTCCAGCGCGCCGCCGCCTCCCCGGGCAGCGGGGACTCTCCCGCCCGGCCGGCCCAGGCACCACCGGGGCTGCCGTAGGGCCGGGGGGAGGCGAGTGAGGCCTCGCCGCCTCCGGGGCGGTGGAGGGGGGGGCGCGGCTGCGGCGGGGCGGCCCTTCCCCGCTCTCGGCGGCGGCTGCCGCAGGCGGCCCGGCCCCCATCTCCATCCTCATCTCCTCCATCCCAGGCCGACCGGTGCCGGTGCCGCCCCTCAGCCGCGCCCGCCCCCCGGCTGGCTTCGGCAGCGCGGCAGTGCCGGCGGGGCTATGGCTGCGGAGGAGGTGCTGCAGGGCGCGGACCATTACAAGAGCGAGATCGAGCGGCTGACCCGGGAACTCTCCGAGACGACCCATGAGAAGATCCAGGCGGCGGAGTATGGGCTGGTGGTGCTGGAGGAGAAGCTCACCCTCAAGCAGCAGTACGACGAGCTGGAGGCGGAGTATGACGGCCTGAAGCAGGAGCTGGAACAGCTGAAGGAGGTGAGAGAACCCGGGCTTTTGTCTCTCCCGGCTGCCCGAGCCTTGCCACCGAGTGCGGGGAGGTGCGGGAGCGCCCCACGCGTGTCCGTGCCCGCAGCCCTGTGAAGGTGGGCGAGCAACGGCGCTCGGGCCCTGGAGAGGCTGCGGGATGCCTGGGGCTGGGGAGGAGGGTTTTCCCGGGCTGGGGATCAGCAGGGACCGTAAGGACGGGTTACACAAGACTGCAGCCCCTTGCCCTGGGAAATTTCCTGCGGAGCCGTCCCAACTTCTGATGACAGGGGGTTGCAGCAGAGGAGGGGGCCTTCAGTCATACCTGCATCGTCCAAGGCTTTTCTGTTTAGGAAGAGGAAATTAAACAGCCCGTAGGATGAGAGCTGAGCAAACCTAGAATGTAAGGACTCGGGCTGTATGTAAACAGTTGTCTGCAGTGTGTGGGGAGAGAGACAATTCATTCTGAAGTTATTTATAGACCTGCTTTATTCTGCCAGTGAGGGGAATTGCTGCCATTGAGAGGAGGGGAAGTAGCCGTACAATAGTCCCGAGGTCACCCCCCATCAATGGAAATTAAACTTCTGCGTCATGCTGAAAGGGTAAAATATTTATTGGAAACGCGTTTCTGGTTTATCTGTCAAATGTGTTTTTGTAACAGCCAGTGTACAGAGTAAGTGAGTACTACACCTTACCTTTCAGCTTCACTAAATGCTACTGAAAAATCATCACTGTTCCGATGTTCATCACTGAGGGAAGTAACTTGAGATCGCTACATTTTATGGTGTTTTAATACTCTCTTCGAATGTAACCAATTGCATACTTTGTACAGAGAAGATTAAGTATTGAACGTATATTATCCCAAATTTAAAAGGTATCTTTTTGTTCTACAAATACACATTCCTATCTGTAAAGTGCAGAAATTCTGTTCAGTTAGAAGTCATGAACATACTACATACTGAGGGAAGCCACTTAATAAACCTAGATTATACATGAACGTCTTCTTTAGAATACTAACCAATGCACTTTGAGAAATATTTTTAATAAAATTAAGGTTTCATTTTACTTGCAGGTAAATGAGTTATGCCACAGACTTAGCTCAGTGTCCAGAGGAGTTGAAAAAAAAAATAAACCTATATTCAATAAGAAAAATAAAGCTGTTTTTCAGAAAAAAATCTATTGATCTCCTTAAACTTGATCTCTGCCTCCCCATCCCCCCCAGACTATGCAGTAGGCTCGGGGCTTTGAGACCAGTAGTCACAGGTTGAGGGATAGAGATACATAACTTGCACTGACAGGAAGGCAGTGCTATTTGAAATGACCTGGCAGTAATAAAGGAACAGAATTAAGGGGAAATGTGCAATGGCTGTTTCCCCATCATATAATGTACAAAAGCTGACTTCTTCTGAAGATCAGAAACCAGGATGACACGTGAGTGCAAATGGCCCCAGGTAGAAGGGATATAGCAAGGGATTGAACTGACATTATGAAACTAGAGAGATCAGTCAACACGATTAACTGAAATCAAAGATGGACACAAATTCTCTTTCTGTTTACCTCCTGTGGAAGTCAATGGGATTGCATGGTCTGCAGCCCAGAATGTCTCCTGTGGGGCTGTGCCTTCATGCTGTGCCAACCACAGCATGGACACTGAGGATATCCACGGAGAGAGGAAGAAGAGAAATCCTGTAGCTTGCCTGATGCCAAGCAAGAGTGGAGCCTTTCCAGTTTCCAATCCAGGCCTGGGGCTCTCAATTCCAGTGCTTTCCTTAGCTGCAGGTAGAATGTTTCCATCCCCCGCCTAGCTGCAAGAGATTTTTTCCTTGCTTCTAACCTCTGTAGGAGAAACCACATTGATTCTTACTGCACATGCAACCCTGCAAAGGAGAATCTGCTCATATCCCTTCCAGTTGTAGTCTTCTATCTTCTCTTGTTACCTGTTTGCATTATGACTGTTCCCTGAGTACAGATCAGACTCACTGCGAGACATAAGCAAATGGTACCTCTGACAACACTAGCGACACAGAATTCAGGTGGTTTGGGCAGTGTTGGGGAGACTTGAGGGCGTAGCTTCTGGGGCTGTAGAGTTCTGTCTGAAAGCACACCAAGTGGCAGAAGTCCAAAGACAGCTTCTTTTTATGAAGGCTCTGTCCAGGATGCATGGAGGAGTGTCTTTGTGCACCTTTTCCAGCAGGCCCTGCAGAGGATGTGCTGGGCAATGGCCTGGGTGAGGTATGCATGGTGAGACATCAAAATGCCATGACTGATTAATGGGAGCCAGTAAGACTCCCAGTATGTCAGTGGGGATGCATGCTTCTGCTCTTACCTCACTTCATCTGCACCCTCTCTGAAGTCATAGATTGCAACACAGACCCTTGGCTATACAATAATTTCCATTGCTGGATAGTGCAATGGGAAAGTAAGGCCATCATAGGACGTTGAAGTAAAAGCCAATTGCAATACATTACATTAAATATTAATACTTGTATACAGGATATATGCTATCCACCTTGCAATATGAATTGTTTTAGTAATCTCCGATGTTTCTTGTGCTGTATTCAGAGGTCTGCTTTAGCCCAAGACTTTGATGTTTTGGGCCATGAGATTGATTTACATTACAAAAAGTTTGAAGTTCTGATCAGTGACCTAAGAAGGACTATTTCTTCCAAATTAGAGCAGTTATTACACATGTAAGCTGTCCAGGAAAGATGCAATACATCTATCAGCTACCAACCTTATGTTTTCAAAAATGAACTGAATGGTAGGAATGTGACAAGGTAAACTCTGTTGTGTTGACTTTAACAGCACTCAGTGTTATGAGATGGAGTGCTTGTGGTCCTCATGCTAGACAAGACTGTAGTGTTACAAAACGTTGTTATTTTAAAAGCCTTATTAATATTCTTTTAATATTTTTTTAATTATTTTCAGCCTGTAAATGATGTGTCTGTGTTTTGTTTAACTACATCTCAAAGTAGTGGAATTTTGGGCTGTTAGGAAAACCACTATAGTTTTGGGGCCCTTGTTCAGAAAGTTACTTTAGCAGATATGCCTTTTAACCTGCAGTTAATAATGATGCAGAAAATAAGACTCATTGCTGCTGGTCATGGGAGTAAAGGCTGGCTATTTTCACTGTCTTGCCAAGCTGGGAGTTTAGTTACCAGCATATTTTATGAAAAATGTTTTTCAGTGGTTTTAGTATCTGGCCTTACATGGTCACATTGCTGTATGGATAATGTTTGTTGTTTTCATTCTTTTAATGAATTGTGAAATGGCTTGATACTGATCTTGCCTGGGCTATCTGTTATAGCTGTCCCTGCTTTAGCAGGGGAATGGACAAGATGATCTCAAGAGTTCTCTTCCAGCCTCAGCCATTCTGTGACTAATTCCTGTGCACTGGTGGCCTGTAATATTTTTAAAGTGGAGTAATATCAGTCACCTCTAGTCATGATAAAATGGGGATGGAAGGCAGCTTAGGTAGTCAACTCCATCAGACATCTGAGAAATCCTAAGCAGGTAGTTCTCTTTAAGAATCAAACCTCGAACATTAGCAGCCAAGCAGATCCTCAAGTCCCTGTCTTTGACTCCCTCTCTAACTGACTAATGTCAGCAATATCCCACTTGGCTTCTTGGCTTTTATGTATTTCATTCTGTGGAGACAACCTGTTCTCCTGAAATGCACATTGAAATTGCTGTCTATCTGATACCTAGGTTGAAGATGCAATTTGGCGTTTCCTTTAGTTTGAACGAAGTTATCTTTGGTGAATTGTTGGCAGCCAGGCTACTGGTGAGCAGCTCAGTCGTTGGCAGGTCAAAATTTCCTGTGTTCTTTATCTCACAAAGATGTATCAATGATTATGAAGTACTTAGTTTATTAATAGGGCTTTCACAGACACGGAGCTGAAGGTCTCTCTGGCAGCTTCTTTTATGTTCTGCTCTTCTCTGCACTACTTTAGCACAGGTGACTCAAGCTCCATCTCCCCACTCTTCTGCCATGTTGCTACACCCCCAGGTTCCCCACTGTTCTCCAAAGCCTCTTGCACATCTGCTGCTGGAGGCACCTCTGCCTCTCCCACCTTTGACATGTACAGTTGGCGGGACTTCTCTGGATGCAAAAAGGACGGAAGAGGGGGAGACTCCCTATGCCATTACAGCCTTGTGAAATGGGAATTGCTCTACACACCTGTCTGCATCACAGGATGCTTAGAAAAGCTCATGAATCCCAATGAGATGTTCTGAATTTTCACCAAAGCTGAATGTGTCCCAAATACATAACTTGTGAACTGCAAACTGATGTCATCTCAGTATATCTTTACAACTCCCTTCGAGTGACAGTGTCTGTGGGCTTGTGCCAGATGAGGCTGAACATTTTCAGATTGGCCTGATCTCAACAGTTTGTCCATGGTGTCTGTTCATGTTGTGTCACTCAGAAAGGCCCTGCTGCCTAGCACCCAGCTCAAAGATGAGGAAAGGGCAAGGGTGAGTAAGTTGCAGACCTGGAAGGGACAGTACTCAGCTGCTCTTTGCAGCATTGTCTTCTCCAGAGCCCATCCAACACTACCTCTGTCTCTAAGTTGTACACTTCTCATGGAAGAGAAGTTTATTTTGGGGGGGCTCTTATAAGGAATGCCTTGACAAAAGCAAGCAGCATCTTGCAAAACTTTCGTTCAATTATTACAGGCTGGGGACTGGCTGACTGGGGATCAGGTCTATGGCAATAGACCTGGGGATCCTGGAGGGATAGCAAGCTGAGCATGGGCCAGCAGTATGCTCTGACACTGAGAAGGCTAACAGCATCCTGTTTTTAGCAGAAGCAAAGCTTGTAGGTTGATAGAAATTATTATAACTTTCAAATTGATACTTGTTGGATTCCATCTAGAAAACAGCATCCAGTTTTGGGCTCCCCTAATGCAAGAAATACATAAATAAACTGGGTTGAGTTCAGCAAACGGCCACCAAAATGGTCAAGAGCTGAAGCACCAGTGCTGTGACAAGAGGCTAAGGGGGCTGAGCCT